ACACTTTAATTTCACCGTGTCCAATTTAATTTAATTTAATTCAAATTTAGTGTATTTAATTTAACCGTGTCATCAGTGAGACAAGTTGAGATCTGTATTGGTATGTTGGAGGAGTGTGCTTGCCACAGGCTTGACCATTCCTGTCAACTATAGCTTGATGCTAATGTTGAGAAATCTCACCTCCAACGTCTCTCACACTCCTTAACGTATTTATCATATACATTGTGTGAAGCCATCAAGAAAGGACACTTTATTACTTATCTGATATTATGCTGGATGTTTTTCTCGTCGAAGGTACACCAATTCCATCAATATGATGAGTGGGTACTAAGAAAACTAAAAGAGGCAGTTCAGGATACACAGAGGCCCGTTTCGTAGAATGCCATATGGGTTACACTCCGAGGTCCTGGGTGACTTGGCTTCCAGTCCCAGCCTTGTCACGGACTAGGAGCAATCTTACAGAAATCACGTAACGTTTCTGAGCCCAGGTCTTTTGTTTTCTTTTTTCCTCTTTGTGGTGGTGGGCGTCGAGGGGCAGAGGGAGAAGGGAGAGAGATGCTGAGATAGGCTCCACAAGCAGCTCGGAGCCCAACTCGGGCTTTCTACCCACAGCCCTGGGATCATGACCAGAGCCTTAATCAGGAGTCAGAGGCTCACCCGACTGAGTCACCAAGTGGCCCGTCATTTCTCTTTTTCTCCTCAGGAACAGCTGGTGGTGTTGAGACTGAAGCTTTCAGTACAGGTTAGTATATTAATTTCTGGTTCCTTAGGTAAAAAAAAAAAAAAAAAAACCTATCTCTCTGTCTATCTGTCTATCTATCGATCTAAGAGTGAAAGTTCTCTGGAAGTTTGGGTTTTTAGGAAAGAATTTATATGAGAGCAAGGCTCTTGAGGAAACCTGGCACCCAAGGAATTTACTGAGCCTTACCCACGGATTTCAGCCTCTACCCTAAAGGCCTGGTATTTACCTTGTTTTTGATCAGGGTAAAATGACTGACTCTCATACGGTTTCTAGTTTCACTTTTTTTCCGTGTCGCTGACGGCGAATATAGTATCTCTACCAGAACTCGATAGCATGGAGCGCCAAATTTAAAAATGCAAAACAAACAAACAAAGAGAAATAGCCCTACAGGGCAAGAGAAAATGTGCCGTTCTCTAATGGTGTATTTTGGTCCCGTACTTGTTTTAAGCGTAAGGGTGCAATTAGGTACGTCCTGACATTTCACACTTGTTACTAGTGTGCGTGAGGGACAGTGTGATGAGGGCGGAAGGTTCGATTTCTATGAAAGCAACCTCACTGAGGCAAATATTGGAAGACCTCGTGTGATGCAATTCGAGATGCAGAAAACAGGACTGTGCAAAAGAAAGTAGCAACAATCCCAACCAGGAAATAGCAAGGAGGATAAGAAAATCTTGGGGGAAAGTTCCACGAGAACAAAGTCTTAGGGAAGTGTGGAGAGAAAGTGGCTGGACTCAGGCTTCCATTTTCTGTGGTGGGAACTGCCTGAAGAGTTAAATCACCCCTTGGTGATAAAGTCCAAGTATGGTTGAAATGAGAAGTTCGTTTTACGTTTTTCTCAGGTGCTGCTGGACGTCCAGATTCCACGACCCTGCATGGTGGCACCATAGGCAGCACCAGAGTGGGCCCCACCTTCACCAGCCCTGGGCGCAAAGCAGGTAAATTGAGTTCACAATAAAGAATCACCTCGATGGCTCAGCAACTGGTGTCAGGCAATGCTGCTCAGTACAGTAGTTTTCAGGCTAAAAGACATCTGGCCTGTTACCTTGAGAGGTGATAGCACCTATACCCTTTTGCAGAAGCTGTTTGGTTTTGTTGGTGTTGGTGGTATTGTTGTACTTGCTGTACATGTTGTACTTGTTGTTGTTGTTTTCACCCTGAAGACAAACACACAAGGGACAGAGGCTTCAGAGCAGGCCACGCCTGGCCTGAAGGAATTTGCCAGTGGCTTCTGAGGGATTAGTTTCTCTTGAATTGGTAGTGCCCCTATTCATGACCCCTACCTTGTTTGTTGTGGGTTTCATGGCAGTGTTTCTCTAACAACAGCTCAGATGTGATGGATAGCAGAGCGTGTGTATTTGGCATTCCCAGATTGCTGCCTTTGGACTTCTGCGACTGCGTCTGGAGTGGGATAGGTTCATGCTGTGCTGTCTTGTCTACAAAGGAGAACTGAGGCTACACATGAACAAAGATGTGCAACATGCATGAACCATTGTTGGGAAATACGTTGAAAGCAGAGTGTAGCACAATCTGTTCTGCCCCACCAATGTTCCCATTACAGAGTGATGGTTGGTTTTGAATGGAACTACCTGTTCACCCACCGGTGATTCCATTTTAGACCCATGAGGGGAAATGTCCCCATCAAAGCATTGGTTTACAATATCATTTAGTGGACATAGCTTTTTTAAAATTAAAAACCAAAAGCAAAACAGGAAATATCTTTCATCAGAACCCTTCTTATTTCATTTATTTTTATTATTCAAATATCAATGAAAAATATAATGATATAAAAATGATTGACCATTTTTGGGGTGCCTGGGTGGCTCAGTTGGTTAAGCGACTGCCTTCGGCTCAGGTCATGATCCTGGAGTCCCGGGATCGAGTCCCACATTGGGCTCCCTTCTCCCCGGGGAGTCTGCTTCTCCCTCTGACCCTCTTCCCTCTCGTGCTCTCTATCTCTCATTCTCTCTCTCAAATAAATAAATAAAATTTTTTAAAAAAATGATTGACCATTTTTTGATGATCTTTATTTTACCAGTTCTCCAAATCTTTCCTTCAAAATTACTATTACTTCAAAATTACTATTGGCTTGTATTAAATATATATTAATGCATATGCTGTCCTAGTACACAGTTAATCAATTGTAACAGGGGAGCCTGTTGGAAGTTCCACAGGAACTGGTGATTGCATCACAACTAGATCACCTTTCACTGGTTTCAGGCCAGCTGGAATTCTGCAGGCAAGGTGCAGTTTCACCTGCTCATTTTGACAGTGCTCCATCATGAGCTTACCTGGGAACTCAAATTTTCATGAGATATTTAAGTCAATTTTGCAATGGTTATAGTTTTAATGGCTGTGATTTTATGACTATTGAACAGGTGTATTTTGATCATTTGTATCACAAGTGTTTATTTAGACTAGAATTGCCAGTTAAAAATGCAAGATGCCATTGAAATGTGAACACCACATAAATAAGAAATGCTTTTTAGTATAAGTATTTTCCATTGGAATGTGATTGTTTGCTTTTTATTTGGGATTCAAATTAATGGGGTGTCTTTTGTTATTATTTGCTAAATCCAACAATCCAATTGGGGACTGAGTGCCACTCTTCTTTTCAATTAGGATCAGCAGAAAGGGGATTTGCAGCCACTTTTGTGGTTGTTGGTGAAACCAGTTCTGGCACACCAGGTACTGAAAGAGCATAATCAGAATAAATCCAGGCTATTGAAATGTGATTTCTTTACTTACAATTTTGACAGAGACAATGTTTCCTAAAGAATTTAATCGTTATTATTTGTTTAATGTCAAAACTGGAGATCAGAAATAAATCAAGAGCTATTTGTTTTGTGAATAACATCATACTGAGTGCTCTATAAAACAGAATAGTCATATACTTGTTCCCTTAGAATTTGATTTTTGAGCAGAAGAAATTAATATTTACATACATGCAAAGGCAAATACCATGTATGGCAGAAAAGAATCAAAATCAAGGAAATGTTCCATGACAGCCTTGGAATGGGAACTCAGGAAATTCTAGTAGGGAACTCATTAGTTGGAGTTAAAAACAACAGAATTATTCTATCTTGAAAATAAAGTAAAAATATGTTCAGTGCACTATGACTATATCTATATGCTTTAACTTGAGCAAAACATGAAAACATGAGTGAGTTGAATGGAATTTATGGATATATTCAATTTCATGGGAATAAAGAGCAGTCATAATTCAGCTGTTGGGGTCATAGAATTGGAAAACAAAATCTTATCTCAACCCAGAGACCCAGGCCCCAAAGACTGTAGAGGGAAAAAAAAAAAAAACAGGTATATAATTGAATAAGTATTAAACTAGAAAGTGATGCAAATTATGGGCAATTCACTTAGAGATTGTAGACAGGAATCTTACAAGCAGACCACCTTTACATACTTTTTCTCAAGAAAAATGATTACTGGTTCTCAAGTAAGGGAACTTTAAAACAGCATTGATTATACAGAGCTTATCCTAAATTCACCTGTTAATTGGGAAGACAATTTGTTACTTAACTGGTTTTATATGAGGGGAAATAAACTCCAATCTTAATGAGGGAGGAAGATTTGTCCCTAGAGGGAGATAAGGGTACCCTCTCCCTTGATGTTTACATTTCCAAGAGATAGCTCCCAAGGCCTTGAGAAAGACCTTCCTGGGTCATTAAGCTGGGAAAAAAACCTTTTCAGATTTTTAAAAGATTTACATACATTTCAGAGACAGAGAAAACATCTGAAATGACAAATTTTTAAAGCAAATGGTCTAAAAAAAGGAAGGGGGAAGTCTCTCCTTATTTGTACCAGAAATAATTAAGCCTTTTATTTTAAATTTTTGTCTTTTCACAAGCCATCCTCCAAACATGATCAACTTCATATTTTAATTAGCTAACATGTGTTTCTATTGTAAAATTAAGCCAAGTCTAAGCCAACCCCTGGAACTGGAGGTGGCAGCACCACTGGGGAAGTAGGCACTAGAACTCTAAGTCCTGAGAAATCAGACAAGGCTGGTCCTCAGTTTTCAGCTGTGTCTGTCCATACCTGCCTGGGCAGTGTGTGATCTAGACTAAGCTGATTTTTAATTTGCGCTGATGATCCTAGAATTGGGTAGCATTTAAGCTCAATGGGGAACGAGTGGGGGGGGAAAAGAGCCAGGAAAGTAGTGGCTGCATACATTAGAATCTACACATACCTCCTTCTGCAAACCATAAATATCACTGGGCCCACACCTAGGGAGTTCAGAGGGATAGAACGGACTGAGACTCCAATCATTGGGGAAGATGGCTCTGGGGCTCATAATGGAGCTGAGATTCAGGTCAGGGCATCCCAGAGGAGAGGAGAGTATAGAGAATTACTTAATAGTGGTGGAATATAGATAGCATCAACTAGGGTTTACCCCTTGAGGGAAAGGGCTCCACCCTGAATGGAGACTGCTGAGAGAAGGTCTGAGACCTAGCACTTGTGTATGTGGAGTTCAAAGAAAGAAGATGGGAAAGTTCACAGAATGAGGCCAGGCAGCCCTGTGAAGGTGCTGACTGTGTTGGAGGCAAGGGAGGGACACCAGGAAGGTGGAGGAATCCTTGCAGCCTGGGTGTCAAAAAAAAAAAAAAAAAAAGGAAAGGAAAGAAAGAAAAAAAACAAGAAAAACAAAAAAAAATCTTCAAAGCCAAGGGCCTCAAGAAAACAGGATAGTAAGTAAGTACATAAGATAGTAAGTAAGAATTAGAAGACAGACAAAGGAGAGATGCTACTTTATAAAAGAAGCTTCCCTTCAACATGAACAACATAAGAGGAAGCCCTTGATCTGAGAAATCTGGCGAGTCACGCAAAAGTCTCTCTGTCCTCACTGCATAAGATCTCCTGCGATGTTTCAGGAAAATCCAATACAAAAAATAAATAAATTAAAAATAAAATTCCAATTTCTGTAGAAAGCTATTCATTGTATACATTTTTAGCAATTCTCAGCAATAGCAAGCAAACTAAAAAGCTAGTCATGAAACAGAGGAAACAGAACATTAACAAGAATTTAAAATAAGAAACATTAGGAGAAGGAAAGGAAAAATGAGGGGGACGGAATTGGAGGGAGAGATGAACCATGAGAGATTATGGACTCTGAGATACAAACAAGTTTTAGAGGGGAGGGGAGAGGAGGGGGGATTGGTTAGTCTGGCCATGGGTATTAAGGAAGGCAGTACTGCATGGAGCACTGGGTGTTATACGAAAACAATGGATTGTGGATCACCACATCAAAAACTAATGATGTATTGTATGGTGACTAACCATAACAAAGTAAAATAAAAAAAAAAAGAAACAAACTGCAGCTATAGACATCAGAATTATAAATTAAAAAAAAACTAAGGATCAAAATAAATAGTAAGAAGATGTTAAATTGGAACTGATGAAAACTCAGGAGAAATAGTAAAAAATAAAGAAAAAGAAAAATTATCTAAAAATACAGACCAAGTTGGAAGCTACACAGCAGAAAATATATGAGACTGAAATCATGGCAGGAGCTGTAGAGGATACAATTGAGAAGATCCAAAAAAATATTGCAGACAGTGGTACTACAAGCTCTTCAGATAAACCAGGTGACATTAGCTAAACACAAGATGTTACAAAAACCTGTCAGTGTAGAAACGTGTTTATAAAAGACTTTTTAGTAGAATATTTATTTAGTTGGAAATCCTTTCTCCTTAAAAATAGCACTACAGTTATGTGAATATTATATGAATCAATTAGAAAGATTGCCATTAAATTCTTTGTTATTCAGTATTTATGCACTATTGGGTGATCAGTGCAACACATGATTCACAGATAATGACAGTGATCTGACAGTTTAGGTGTTCTCCATTACTAAATAAGACTAATGCAACATTTTGAATCTGGTATCCTTATATGGCCAATATAGAAATCACTGGAATAT